TTTGAAACGCTCCAGCATTTAAAAACAACGCAGACACGCTGATTACAGCGCGGGGCTAAAGTGAAACTAACACGGTGCTGGGCACCCGTTCGTAAATACACTTAAACAGCTGTTTTTCTCCCCTCATATTCCGACACAGAGGGTAGAAACAGATAAATTAGACAGTTAAAACACATTTACAGTTCATAACTCACCCTTGTTGTTGTAACATTCATCCTGTGTTGTCCGGAAGCACTTTCCACCCTGTTGTGGGTCCATTTCCTTGACAAATAAAACTTCACCAGGCACTTTGAAGAAGCTCTGCTCTGACGCTGGTAGTTTATGTAGATAATAATGGACTTACAGTGGGAGGGGCTCAGTGGGCGGGGCTTCACAACACTGGGCTGATGGAGCAGCTGCTGCTCAGTCTATGACTTCAGTTGAAACTGTACTGTGCCTGACCCTCCAGACTCTCCCAGACCTCAGGACCATGTAGTCGTCTGTCAGGGATCCACCAGTGCCAGGACCCCTCCAGAACCATGTGATGGATCAGTACGGACCAACTGCAGAGTTACTGTTTGTCTGTCACATGACTTTGATCATTTCTAAAGGATTTTAAAAGATGAAAAGTGACAGAAGACCATCTGAATAAAAGACCTGGTGGTCCTGGAGGATCCTCAGTGACCCTGTCAGGAAGAGGTCCCTGTGGTCCTGGTCCGCTGCTCTGGTTAACCCCTCCTGCTGACTGAGTGCAGTGTTTGTGGGTCACTGCTGGTTAACTGGCTGTAATCAGACTGAAGCAGCTGAAGGGACTGGAGGCGGGACAAGGCCAGCTGCTGAATGAATAATAATGAGCCGGGCTGAGCTGGACCAGGACTCTCTGCTGGATGAAGTCCGGACTCTAATCTGTCACTTAGTGCTCATTAATGTGTTCACTGGATGCAGCTGACAGCAGCTGTCTGTTTACACTGCAGGATTCCAGCTGCTGTGAAGAGTTCTCCACTTCCTGCTTCTGTTTACTGCGCTGTTCTTTATTAACAGCATCTTTACTTCCTGTCTGAGCTCTGTTCATTCTGTCCAATGAGAGCAGAGACCGTCACCTGCATGGATTTCTTTGAAAATTATAGTCTGAAAAAAAGCACATGTACAAAAGCAGTTAGGAAATGTCTGTTTGAACAATAAACTGCTGATAAAAATGTAAAGTAACAAACTGAAATGTTGGATTGTTTGAACAAAGTGAGAAATACTGTGATGAGTGTGTGCTAACAGGGATTCAGGGGGGTCATGGAGTCTAGTTGATCTATAGAAAACTGATGACCCTGTAGCATTGTGCGAGAGGGCTGCTGGACCACGGGGTGTCCAGGTTCTTTTTAGGGACTATCTGGTCCCTGTTGAACCAAAGCAGGTCCGAGACAAAAGCTGTGAGAACGAGTCCACAGAGGTCAAGTCATTTTAGAGAAGAAACCCAGCAGACAGCGTTAAAACTAAAGTGGGCAAAAACTCTGAGTTACAGTGATGTCAACACTGAAACAACTAGAAAACAACATAACTGAGTTACAGTGATGTTAACACCGAAACAACTAGAAAACAACATAACTGAGTGTCAGTGATGTTAACACTGAAACAACTAGAAAACAACATAACTGAGTTACAGTGATGTTAACACTGAAACAACTAGAAAACAACATAACAGTCAGTGATGTTAACACTGAAACAACTAGAAAACAACATAACTGAGTTACAGTGATGTCAACACTGAAACAACTAGAAAACAACATAACTGAGTGTCAGTGATGTTAACACCGAAACAACTAGAAAACAACATAACTGAGTGTCAGTGATGTTAACACTGAAACAACTACAAACATCATAAATCTGAGTTACAGTGATGTTAACACTGAAACAACTAGAAAACAACATAACAGTCAGTGATTTTAACACTGAAACAACTAGAAAACAACATAACAGAGTGTCAGTGATGTTAACACTGAAACAACTAGAAAACAACATAACTGAGTTACACTGATTTTAACACTGAAACAATAAGAAAACATCATAACTGAGTTACACTAATGTTAAAACGGAAACAATAAGAAAACATTATAACAGAGTTACACTGATTTTAACACTGAAACAATAAGAAAACATCATAACTGAGTTACACTGATTTTAACACTGAAACAATAAGAAAACATCATAACTGAGTTACACTGATTTTAACACTGAAACAATAAGAAAACATCATAACTGAGTTACACTGATGTTAACACTGAAACAATCAGAAAACAACATAACTGAGAGTTACAGTGATGTTAACACTGAAACAACAAGAAACCATCATAACTGCGTTACAGTGATGTTAACACTGAAACAACAAGAAACCATCATAACTGCGTTACAGTGATGTTAACACTGAAACAACCAGAAACCATAACTGTGTTGCAGTGATGTTAACACTGAAACAACCAGAAACCATAACTGCGTTACAGTGATGTTAACACTGAAACAACCAGAAACCATCATAACTGCGTTACAGTGATGTCAACACTGAAACAACCAGAAACCATCATAACTGCGTTACAGTGATGTCAACACTGAAACAACCAGAAACCATCATAACTGCGTTACAGTGATGTTAACACTGAAACAATCAGAAAACATGAATTCTGACATGGCTCATCCCATCTCAGATCCATTCACTGATCCACAGGACTCCTCTCAGACCTGCTTCCCCCGTTAACTCAGACTGTCCAGCACAAAACTCTTGGACCTCCTTTCTCTGGGATCTGGTTCTTTCAGGTTCAGTTCCTGACCAAAGGTGAGGACCGTACCTGAACAGGTGTTTCAGTTGTTAAACACCAGAACTTTCCTAAAGTCAAACGTGCACACAGAAAGAGTCTGGATGTTACAAAGAAGGATGGAGATGTGAGTATTTTTAACTGCCAGTAACCTGAGCTGAAGTTTCTGCTCTGTTGGAAGACGGCTAAAAATAAAAGCAGAATCTTAGTGAACAAAGTCATCCATATTTGATCCAGAGTGTCAGTCTGTGGCACGCAGCATCAAGCGTGAGGATATTGATTCAGGTTTTTATTCTCATGTCTAAAATGCACCTCAGGGCCGGTGCAGCTGCTGCATGCTATGATTGTTCTGCTGGAAAAAACAACATGAATAATTCTGCTTTGTTTTATTTAGAAAGGATTCAGGACTTTGTTTCAGATGAGTTCCACAGAAACCTGGGTGTTCAGGTCCACATGGACCTGCCTTTTAGAACCTTCAGTTCCTCTGAGTTGATGCTGGTTGTTTCAGGTGCTTCTGTCTGTTTGGATCAAAATAACCTGAAACAGAAGTGAGACACTCAGATTTCACCTGAATGGATCTGTTGGTTATTTTTATTCATCTGAACGTCTCCTGAGTGAAACTCTGCAGATAAATCTGACTCCTGCAGTCAGTGATCATCTTTTCTTTGGACTTCGTTCTGAACACTGATCAGTGACCCGCATTCTGATGGACCTCCAGAACATCATCAAAACACTCAATAATACACACAACTTGATGTTTCTAATTATATTATGCAATACTTTCCATCCAACATCCATCCATCCATCATCCATCCAAAATCCATCCATCATTCATCCATCCATTGATCATCCATCCAACATCCATCCAACATCCAACAATCCAACATCCATCCATCCAATATGTCATGGTTTTAGAAAGTTTCTTGACCGATATGCAAACACTCCAGGAAACAACAAAGTTTTAAGATGTTTATTTTAAATGAAAGAGATCTTGGTCCATCATGGTCCTGCAGACGTAGGGCAGGGGGTCAGGAACACTGGTGGAGGACGAAGGTGATGAGACCAGGAAGGAGTATATAGTATAGTAAACACAGAAGAACAGGGGCTACTTTACCATGAAGATGAAGCAGGTCGGCCAGGGAGAGGTGAGTGGGATCCTAGGGGTTGAGTCTGTGAGCCAAGGAATGATGAGCAGGTTGGAGGGCAGACAGGTTACGTACTTGAGGAGAGAGAGGAGTCCTGAGATGGTAGCCGTGGGTGGAGGAGTCCAAAAAGCACAGAGAGATGGAGATGATCTTTAAGTTTGGAGGACCTCAGAGGAACCGGTCCAAACCATCAATGGAGGTAACCATTTAAACCTCTGGTCTGGTCTGGTCTGGTCTGGTCTGGTCTGGTCTGGTCTGGTCTGGTCTGATGCGGTCCAGTCTGGTCTGGTCTGGTCTGGTCTGGTCTGGACTGGACTGGTTTGGTTTGGTCTGTGTCATAGTTTGGGTTTTTGGTTTCTGTTTTTGTATTGTGATTAGGTCTTTTAGGTCCTGTTTTGGTTTTTGTTCATGTGGGTTTTCTGTGTAATCTCCTTTTGTCTCAGGTGTGTTCTGTTTCTGTGATTAGTGTTGCTTTCATTTCCTCAGGTGTTTCCTGTTACCTCGTTAGTTTTCCTGTGTATTTAAGCTCTGTCTTGTCTTTGTGTCAGTGTCCGATCATTGTGCTGTAAAGCGTGTTTCATTTTTCGTGTTCCTTGTTCCAAGAAGTTTTTTTTGCCACGTCTTCTTGAGAGTTTTTTCAGCTGCCTCGTCAGCATTTTGATTTTTAAATMAAACCTTATTTTTGTTACATCGTTAACCTGCCTGTACTCTGGGTCATTCCTTGTTTAAACCTGACAGTCTGGTCTGGTCTGGTTTGGTCTGGTCTGGTCTGCTCTCGTCTGTTTTGGTCTGGTCTGGTTTGGTTTCATCCAGTCTGGTCTGGTCTGGTTTGGTATGGTTTTGTCTGGTTTGGTCTGGTTTCATCCGATCTGGTCTGGTTTGGTTTGGTCTGGTGTGGTCTTGACTATGGCTTCACCGGTTAGTTGAAATAATCGATGACGTCGATTATGTCAATTTGTCGACGCAGATTTTTTATTATCGATTCTCTGTGTTACATAACACCACGTGAATGTTCATGCAATTCCATTTCAGTACCTAAACGCATCATTGRGACCGTWTTGGCATAAGAGTGGTGAGTTTTCCATGCTTGTCCTGAACGCAGCATCACAAGAGCGTAATGACGTCAGCAGCTGCTGC